TGGATGAATAAAGCACAAGATGCTCCTGTCTTTGGCTTTGTTTGTTGTCTGCGTTTGTTTTACTTGTCTGCGTGACTTTGCCGTCTCATTTTGTCCATTTCCTGTTTGTCTCTAGTGTCCGACATCCTGGACCTCCTGAACCAGCCTGTACTGGGCCCCCAGTTCCCCCAGATCACCGACCTCTCTCAGGGGACCAGTGAAGCGGTCCAGGGCAGCGGAGACGTGGATTCTCAGGATGTTTCTCCCATCGACCTGCCTCCGAGTGTCAGCTTCATCAATGGAAAACACGAGGTACCAACCACACTGGGGAGTTTTTAATCAACACGTAATTCATGTTTTAATTGGGTCCATAAATAAATGTTGACGTGCATGTTCTCATGGTTTGATCAAGAGGTTTCGCTGCTGCTTTTATATTCATTCAGTCCACTAAATTATTGTGTTTTTGCCTTTATTCCAAAAAAGACAATTTTCCAAATAAGCTGTCCACTTGAATAATGAACATTATTATTCCACTAATATTCTTGTTTGTATGCAGCCTCTGATTAACATCAGCGCTGGTGGACGTATGTTAATCTGAAGATAGTCCATATGGAATAAATCTTAACTCAGATTATCCAAATGGATATTTTACTTGCATAACGTATTCTGAGTAACAGCAGAATGTTCGTGTGCATATCAAAGCATTTCAAGTCTTTGAGTAAGACTTTGATTTAAAATAGTTCCCAACATGTGACCATTTATCAGCACTTCACATTAATGTTTAGTTTTTTCTTTTCCTCAAAGTATTTACCTGAAAATTATACTTTTAATTCATTTTTTGATTTTTTTGTCATAGTTTTCTTTTATGAAATTAACTAAAGAACTCTTCTCTGATCCAATCAGGTGACATTTGAGCCAGAGGTGCCAGAGGAAGCCAGAGGAGATCAGTTTGAGACGGCCACACCTGTCCAGGTAGAGGAGGTGGAGGAGACGGAGGAGGACGAGAGCATGACTCCTTTTGACTACGGGGTCATAGACGTACACACAGAGGAGACACCTACAGAGACATCTACAGAGGGGACATCTGCAAAGGAGATGCCTACAGAGGAGACACATACAAAGGAGACGCATACAAAGGAGACGCCTACAAAGGAGACGCCTACAAAGGAGACTCCTACAAAGGAGACGCATACAAAGGAGACGCCTGCAAAGGAGACTCCTACAAAGGAGACGCATACAAAGGAGACGCATACAAAGGAGACGCCTGCAAAGGAGACGCCTGCAAAGGAGACGCCTGCAAAGGAGACGCCTACAAAGGAGACGCCTGCAAAGGAGACGCCTGCAGAGGAGACGCCTACAGAGGAGACGCCTACAAAGGAGACGCCTGCAAAGGAGACGCCTGCAAAGGAGACGCCTGCAAAGGAGACGCCTGCAAAGGAGACGCCTGCAAAGGAGACGCCTGCAAAGGAGACAGCTGCAAAGGAGACAGCTGCAAAGGAGACAGCTGCAAAGGAGACAGCTGCAAAGGAGATGCTTACAAAAGAGACGCCTGCAGAGGAGACGCCTGCAGAGGAGACGCCTACAGAGGACACCAGTGACAGAGTCCCTCATCATACGGTCACATACCCAGACGTTGTCCCTGATGACTTTGAAGGAGTCAAAACTCAAGAACCAGGTGATCAGACGGCAACAAGAACCACCACCACGACCCCGCATACTCTCCCCGTCTCATCACCACCAGGCCTGGTGTCCCCCGGTGTCTCTCAGCCTGTCTCCACCTATGAGGACATGGAGGGCTCCGCGGGCCGCGGCGACGACGAGGAGGCCAGCGCCGCTCGTGAGGGCTCTGCAGACGACGCCGCGCCCACGCCGGCCGCAGGAAGCCAGTCCGCCGTCATGACCGACGAGACAGAAATAGGTGCCACGGAGCCTCCTACTTTTGTCCCTGAAACACCGGAAACCACCACACAGACCCGAATGGAAGACTCCGAAGGGTCGGCATCCGGAGAAGACGAGGCCTCGGGACAAGAGGCCTCGGGACAAGATCCTCCGGAGACGCCCGGCTTCACCGGCACGCCACCGCCGGTTTACTCCACCACCCTCCACACCCAGCGACCTCAACCTGCTGACCCGGTCACAGAGGTGGGCTCAGGTGCAGAGCAGCTGTCCGGAGAGGGGGAGGTTTCTGGGACACAGGGTGGTCCGGTTGACCCTAAAGAGGTCACTGTTACCATTTTACCAGATGTGGCAGCTGTGACTTTTGGAGACCGAACCACACTTGCCACAGACATGACCCTCCACGTCCTCGCTGCCACAGATGATAAGAAACATCCCGCTGTTACCTCTGAGCCCACAACCACTGAAGACCACCACCAACCTGGCGTCGCGCAGTCCACCACAAGCTCCTCGCAGTACGTCACCTCGCCCTTGTACACTTTCGACCACAAGACCCACTCCGTCCCCCAGTGGGCTCTGGTCCCTGATCCCGCTGCCACCCCTCTGCCCGGGGAGGACTTTGTGGACTATGACTCTCGTCTGGTGGAGGCGCTCCCACAGACACCAGGAGAGACCTCGACCACGGAGCGGCCGGAGAGCAGCACCGACTCAGCGGATTCTGTGGAAGTCAGCACGGTGGACGTCAGAGGTACATGAACTTCTTCTTCAGTGGTTTTTACAGCAGCTTCCTGGTTTACCTCCAGTCTACCTGTCTGATACGGAGCCAGGAAGTGAAATCACCTGCCAATCAACCAATCAGTCAGTCAGACAGTCGGTCAGTCAAGTTTTGACACGAATCAAAATGTAATTTAAAGTGCTTTACAAATGATTGATGAGCCAAATATAGAGAGCTTAAGAGACTAATGCACAACAAATTAAGTTAAGAAAATAAATAAGCGGCTAAATAGATAAATAGACACATTTATAAATAAATAAATAAGTGAATGCATTGATCATGGTAAAGCAGTAAAATTAAATTTAAATAAAATATAAATATGTGTAGATACTAAACAACAGCATAAAAACACGTTAGACATTGTTTAACATCAGATGTTGTTTATGAGTAAAATGTTCAAAACACGACATAAAAGCCAGACTGAATAAATGTGTTTTCAGTTTACTGGTTCATAAACTAAAAAACACTTCTGAGAGACGGTCTGTTAATGTCGTGCCTACAAACATTAACTTTGAATCAATACTTAAACTAACTTGTATTTACATCATCGTGTCCTTACGTAGATCTGCTGCCGTGCTCTACCAGTGTGTGTCACAATGGAGGATCCTGCTACCAGAAGAACACACAAAACATCTGCGTCTGTGCACCTGGATACACTGGGAGGCACTGTGAAACAGGTACACACACACACACACACACACACACACACACACACACACAAAACAGCTGACCGCATTGACCCCGTGCTGACAGATGAGTGATGCTCATAATACTTGTGTTGTGCAGAGGTGGATCAGTGCCAGTCTAACCCCTGTCTGAATGGAGCCACCTGCCTGGATGGAGTGGACTCCTTCACCTGTCTCTGCCTGCCGAGCTACTCAGGAGAGCTCTGTGAGCAAGGTGAGCTGCACCTGAGGTCCGAAGTGCTGCTGTCAGCAGAAACACGAACAAACTCAAGGCATCGCTGCAGACTGTGAGAGATGATCATTGAAACGGCCGTTATTAAGATAAACGATAAGATAGGCTACGCTACGCTATCATACGATACCATAAACGATAAGATAGGCTAAGCTAC